CAGGCGTGAATGGTGATATTCTATACGTCACCCGCACCGTTGGCTGACTAGTGGCCCAGTTTTTACGCCTGGCTCAACGCCGAGCAGGACAATCACTCGACGACCATCCTGTCCTTGGTCAATAACGATGAGGAGGGAAACAGTATGCGGAAGGAACAGACATGAATGAGTGGGGTCGTGGATATGAGTCTGCGAGAAGGCGCGGACAAGCGAGCGCGGCTGGCCGGTGAACACAAGTCAAGGGCTGCGAATACTAACTTGGCTTGCTTGAAGGTCTGCGAAAGATAGTGGAGGCGATCCGGGAAACGGAGGCCTATGCAAAGTGAGCAGACATGTTTTCGAATGAACCGGTTAGACCTAACTCCTCCTCTAGCTTAAGTTTGGCGAAGGGACCACGGACGATGCCTATAACGGTCGTATGGGGAAGAAACAGCGCGAGAACGGGGCTGTGATAAGGTCAGCATTCAACAGCCAGATCTAGAATGTGGAGCTGATTTTGGGGCAAGAGCGCGGAAGGCGCGTGTCCAGCTCGAGCGCTGTCGGTCGGTACATAAGTACAAGTCAAAGGCCAAAAACGACTACGACATTACCTGGAAGGCTTACGAATGATATTGGGTTTGAGTGGAGGACGATGGCCTATGCAAGGTAAGCAGACATCTTCTGGATGAACAAATTGGACTTACCTTCTCCTCTAGCTTGGGTCGGCAAATGGCCAGGGACGAACCAAAGTTCCGGGGGACAGCGGTGATGACGGTTTTTTGGAGGAGGAGAACGGCGCCAGCGAGGTAAACATCCAATACAATAGCAAGGATGTGAAGCTCACCTTTCAGCAACAGCTCGAGCTTGAAGGTTGCGTGTATGTGGTCGGTGCCAGGGGGTAGGAAAGGCAGTGGGAGAAGAACAACCGTGACGAGCGGTAAGCACAACGATGTTCAAAAGAAATAACAACTTGAACGCACTGACCAATACCATATTAGGCAGTGCCACCAACCTCCTGCCTCAGCAGCAGGGGCAGCGCCAACAACGGCAGCTCAGGAGCGGGAGGAAGCGACCCACCGGCCGATCGGGTCCGTGACCCGAAGGCACGTGCCGCTTACGAACCACTCTGGCCTCCTCCATCTCCGCACGCTTCCAGACCCAGCGCGTCCGCCCAACGCAGCCCCGAGCCACAGAAGCACATCCCACTTCAAGACGCGCCAACTGCGCGGTCCCGAACGGCACAAGCCTCACCTGCAGTTGCCAGCCCAACGGCAAGGCGCCGAATCTATCTACACTGGCCTGTAATGCTAACTACTACATCTAGCCATTTGCTGACCTGTTACAACGCCTGCCGAAGCATATTTCCCGCCCCCGCCGCCTTCCAAAATCTTCAAATCGCAGCTAGAAATAACGAGGTCAGCGCCGATCTCGACAACGAGCAAACCGTGTACCGGTGGGGATTCTGGGGAAGCGCCAACGGGATATGGTGGCTGGACTGTGAAAGAGGGCTAGCATTTGGAGGGACAGAGAGAGGATCTCGAAATGGGTGCGCTCGTCCATTAGGCAGTAAAACGCTGGCTGACGTGGATTCCTTGCTGAGGACGAGTGTTGTTGCTTCAACAGCGCCTTTCAGCTGCTCGCAGCGAAACCCGCCATCGGGTAATTTGACCCTACGATACCGAGGACCACGCTAAGTGTACATGTGTTGTTAGTATCGTCAAAATTGTGGACAAATTGCCACGAACCTTGCGCAAGACAGCAACAACGTTGCCAACGCCAGCTTCCCAATACCACACCCGACTCAAGTGGCTTGTCGAATGCGGACTAAAACAACTCAGCATCGTCCAAGTTAAACGCCGCAAGACGACACGAAACACACCTTGCCGACAACGACAACATTTTGTTTGCGGCAACATCGCCTTCCAGCACTTGCAACGAAGCCCCGCCATCGAGCATGTCAGCATTCGGCGGGTCTATGGTAGTACTAACTCTGCTGTTTGCTTAGCATCGTCAAAACCACAGGCAAGTCAGCGATACAAAACAAAAACATATCGCGCGCACCTGTCGGCAACTTCGCGGCCTATCACCGCCAGACGTGCATGGTATAACGTGTCTTGCTTTCTTTGTTTACTTGTTGCTCATCTTGTCGTTGCAGATTACGACTTACATCTTTTGTGGCTGCACTCCGATTCCGGTGTTACTTCCCTAGCCTCGCCCAATTCCCAATTCCCACTAGTACTTCTCAGGCTCACATCGCACAACATCCAAATAGTCAAAGCGTTCAGATTTTATAAACTTTATTTGTTTGGCACTTCATATACGTAGTTTGTGGCCGATGAATAGATATTATAATATTATTAAGAACTGTTTGAATTGGTGTGATTCGGGGAGGGCCTCAAATACATGCTAGCACTGCTGACGAGACCTCCAATACGTACGGCGAATGGCTAATTGTCCGCTCGAGAGCTGGAGATGTCTGAGTCGTAGACAGCATAAAGCAGTATTGCTGGGGAGAGGTTGAAGTCAGATCGAGTGGTCTTGTTGGGAAACAGCCTCAGGTGAACGCACAGCTAATGCACCACATCAGGCAGCGGAGGTTGGGCATCTGGCTTCGACTTGAATATCATACATGTGTCCTTCTCCTGCTAGCCAAGCACCAGCTGTCGAGGAAAAGGAGAAGCGCCACCTCCGTGTCTCGAGAAGCATCTTCGACTTGCTTGAGGGGCCCGTCCGACAGGCAGCTCCCCACATCCCCACGGTCCGCACAAAAGCTTTCCTCCCCCCACCAATCTGCTCAAAACTCTTCACTGAGTTCATCCATCCATTAAACATCGCTCAATGTCAACTCCTCCAACGCATATATCGGTGAGCTAAGCGCGCACGTGACTTGCCATTTATGGAAGTCGATTAATCGGAGACGTCGATTGCATTTGGAGGGTGCAGGCGTGGGCGGGGAGGGCGGGGGAGGAATAAGAATAGACCGGGGAGGTGTAGTGAGGCCGCAGTTGAGTCGCTACCATGGTCCGCAAGCTTAACCCAAATTGTGCTTCGTTGTTTCAAGTTGTAGTCAGTCGGCATCGGTCGGGTATTCGCCACAAGCAGATGCATAGTCCTTTATAAGCTGCGCAGATGATGCCGCAAGGATGGATCGGGGTTTGGGCAGAATATGCCATCGTTCTCGCCGACGAAGCGGATGAAATGTCTTGTGTGGCGTTTGGAGGAAAACTGGCACGACAGCAGTCTTCCTCTTCGAGTTGCCGAAACAAAAAGAATTTTATAGTGGATGGACGGGGTGTTGGGCCGGGATTTACAATCCCTATAGCGCCAGCTGCCGCGTTGACAGAGATATGTAAACGTCTTTCGGTTGCCTAAGATGCACGTCCATTTTTTGTCGAGGTGGAGGACCGAGGAAGCCGACAGTTAGACACGAAGGTATGGTTATGTTGCTCGAAAGGTGGATCTTGTAGCTAAACAATACGTTTCAGATGTAGAGAAAGTTAGATTGAAAAGTGGATCGTACCTTGAAACGTGCTTGTAGACAGCACAAGAGAGGGCGTTGTAACTCCGTCGGCCATCCTGATTTCTTGGGACGAACACAGGCTATGGAGACGTGTGGGCCCACTGGCCAGCGTGAGCGCGACGACGCTTAGCCAGACCGAGCGATTTCGCTGTCTAAGCCTTCTCCACAACTACCAACGCAGTTTCTTCGTGCTGTTGCGGAGTATCAGTGAATAGGATACCGATGGCGGGAAGGGCTTTTGTACTTGGTCAGCATTCGGCAGATGGGTGGTGAGTACCAAATACACACCTCTCCTCACAGCAAAACGTTATGCGGAGCAGATCCGGTAAGAAAGACGGGTCCTGAGCCTCTTCTGACAGGAAGATGAGAATGTCGGGGTATCGCGACTGAAAATGAAGTCAAAACGATCCTGCAAGAGAGAGATAATGTTAGTATCGACGACGATGAAAAAGAGTAATTTGTCGCGCGCCTATATCCAAACGCCTCCGGCGCCTGCTGCCTTCCTAGATTTATGCTAGAAGATTCCATCCTCGTGTGTGCTCTGTTGACCGGGCGCAAAGCTGCGGGTATGATTATTGCTACGCCAGAAGTCAGCTGCAAATACAAGGTCAAAGCACCTGAAAACGCACATTGCTCCATTGCCAACTAAGCTCGTCCCGCTCGTCCCCTCGTTTACTCTGCTCCCAGCGGCGCCTGCTATCTTGGCAGCTCTCTGAAAGTCTCCTTAGTTAACCCCTCAAGTTCGTCCGCTGGGCTGTCGCCACTTGGTCTTCGATTTTGAGCAGGGAACCGAGGAGGCTTTTGCGCGCCGTAAACTGAGCGACCTAGGGAGGTGGCTGAACATGGCGGTGACGGTAAGAGAGAAGAAGAGATGTCACCGTGACCGCCATGCTCGACCATGGTTCCTCGCCAGCAGCACTGATTCCGCCTCCATTTCACGGTCTCTGTCTTCTACTCTCAAGCCATTCAGGCAACCCACTCGAGACGAGGTTGTGTGCTCTATATTGTCTCTTGCGCACAGGCTAAATAAAAATGATTTCCTGAAGATACTGATACTTACACTATCCTCCGCCGGGCGCTCACTGCCCAACGAGTTCATAATCGTCAAAGGTGGTGACCCGTGAGTCGTGGCTGTTGCCCGGGGCCATAGCAAGTCGTCGTTTGAAGCTGAGTGTATTTTACTTTGATTGACGTCACTCACGGTTACTACTAATGCGACATGCTTTTAGTTCGTATCTTTCCTTGGATTTCAGGGCCCGGGTGTTTCCTTGATTTGCCTCCAAAGGCATCCGACTTCGTTGTGGACTTCCATGTCCTTATGTCTCTCCCTTGAAACAGGCGACTTACCAGTGGAAGTTCGAAACTTCAACAACTTGCCTGGAGTTTATCGACTCGGAAATGCAATCATGCAAGTGGCGCTGGTGATCGCCACACTACGCCCACGTCGAGTGTGCTGTTGACCTTCCTGCTGCGCTCTTCCATCAGCGATATCGATTGCAACATGGGTCGCTTTCCCCCGGAGCTTGAGCAGGTCATCCTCAAAATGTGCGCCGAGGATGAATGGAGTTTCATCCCCACACTTCTCCGCGTCGCTCAGCGCGCACATATATGGTATGTATAACTGAAATTTGTTTCAGCGTCTTGAGCATCGCTGACCTATCTAGGCTCGAACCTCTTCTGTACCAACATGTCTATATCAGCACCGACCTTGAACGAAAGCCCGCGCAAGACGCCTTCTTCCATGTCGCTGTTGCCCGCCCACAATCCTTTCTCGCAAAAAGTGTGCGTGTGGTGGTGCTCGAGCTGGACCATTCTGGAACACCAGCTCAAGACCTTCTGGAGTGCACCTACCATGCGCTGCGGTCCTGCACTGGGATCCAGGAATTCGCCGTGAATGGTGCTGACAGCATGGACATTGGGCCAACATTATTCCCCATCTTGGCCACCATGCCGCTTCACCGCCTTGGGGCTTTTCTCGAAAATCTCCTACCGCACCCGATCTCGATGAAAGAACATGCACCAGCGTTCCCGGCGCTCACGCACCTCGATGTGTTTGACAGCGAAGGCCACAACAACCACTCCCGCGACCTCATTCGCATTGTTCCATTCTTAACGGCACTGCCCCGCCTAACCCACCTCGCACTTCAGAGCCAGCCACCTGCCCATTCCGTCCAGCAAATCTTGGACGGTTGCGCCTTCCTCCAGGTGCTTGCCTTCATGGAGCCCCTCGCAGACCTCGAACCCCCACCTCATCCCTGATCTCCTGGAATATCTCCACGGCTTACCGATCCGTGACCCAAGAATTGTCGTATCCGTCTATGACGAATGGGAAGAGGTCATTTCCAGCTACGAGCCCTCCTTCTGGACGGCAATCGACATTTTTCTTGATTACAGGAAGCAAGGCCGCATCGACAGTGAGTGGTTACTCTCAGACATGAAGCTTAACTTATTAAGCTGCTGACGCATTTTCCAGAGGACCGTATTTACACGGGCGATTTTCATGATGAGAATTCGACAGATCCCACAGCGCAGCTCATTAGACAGCAAATTCTCGATGCAGCCTAGCGGCTAGCGATTCACAAATTGTTGTATCTATACTCATACCATAACAATCTTTCAGTTTGGAAATGACGAACAACTCACTGCCAGTGGCAACCTGAGTACTGGTGGAATTTATAGTAACTATGCTTTCTCCACAGGCAAGTGGAACGGTAAAAAGTACTCTTCATAAGCAGCATCCGACTCGCTCGGCATCAGCAACAATTCTGGTCTATCTCAACCCGCTGGGAGCTGAAGAAAGGATTGTCACCTAGGTATACGTGTCTAACAACGTACAAATCAAATCCGCGGGAGAAAAACTCTGTCTCAAGCAGTACGATTGCGAGGAATGGGGTTTGCAATTGGCACGCACTCATCGCTAACCCTATACTGATTGACTCAAATGGTACAAGTTTCAGACCATTGCCTGGCGGTTCCGCTTCCATCCAGCGCGATGGACGGAACTCGTGGGCATCCTTACCCAAAATCAGATTCCTTCTGCATGCGGTTTCATGAAATTGAAAGGCAGGAGGAGGATGACATACTCACCGAGGGTAGATGCGAGAGCCAAATGGATATCCTGCCCTTTTTTGAATCGACAACTTGAATTGGGTGATGCTGGCGCCAAACTTCGTGATGACCAGCTTCGACAGCGGGAGGACAAAGTCCTGGACAACGATACGGCCGGCGAGCGGAAGGAAGGGGTAGTAACGAAGAATGTCCTGCTTTACTGTCAGCGCCAAGACGGGGGCGAAACAAGAGCACATACGGAGAGAAACGTGCTGAGCGGGGGAAGTGGTCATAATCGATGTCTTCTCCACTCCCGTTTCACCAGCAGCCCTCTCTGCCGCAAGGAACTTCAGGGTCTGATAATCCGTGATGCGGTGGTAATCTTCATGAAGACGAAGTCTTGGAAGCCGAAGGCGAAGGCCTTTGCGGCCAAACGCTCCTCCCCGAATGCTCCTCGTCGGTCATGAACGATGCGACCAGAATTCCCGTAGACGTGGGTACAATTTGAGGAGCGCCAGGCCAGCTGAAAGCGTTGAGTAATGTCCACAAAAGCCACTCAGAACACACCGGTATGGCCAACTCAGGCTGTCGCATAGACCTGTGTTCTCCCCGAAACATCGTTGCTGCTGACGACCGACTTGACGGGGAACAATGGTGCTGTCCCTTTCGTTGTGTCGAGGACGAATAAAACCCGCGCCGAGCCGCCTGAGGTGTTGAAATCCGTGCAGCCAGGCATTCCACCCACCCAGTAGTCCCCCCACCAGCAACCGTCGTCGCAGCAGACCAGGTCGCCCCGTTGTTTGTGGATGACCGCATGAGAATATCCTGGTCGGAAGCGCTGTTTTCGGCAGCGTAGTAGCGCCACTCTTTGCAACGCGGATGAATCATGAATGGTTCCTACAAACCTGTTTAGAGTGGTTTTCTGGAGCAAATGCCACGCACCCAAAGCCCTGCTGTCGGAGTTCTCTCGTCTACGTGCGACAAGAATATCTCCGTCTTGCCATTGTCGTGCGAGATAGACGCGGTTATCTAGCAAAAAATAAGCCCAATGCTTGAGAGAAAACAAGCCAAACTCACGCGACAGAAAGTATGAGCCCCCCGCCGAGTTCTTGTCGTGGTTTCTGAACGTTGCGAGCACATCGCCGTTGGACAACTGCTTCAAATGCATATTGTCCAAGTTCCCCCGTTCCCGTCGCGACTGTGCCCCACGCCGCGAATGTCCTTGCCACATCAGTGGAGCACGTAACGGTCAGGATGTGTGTGGGCCCGCTGAAGGTAGTGACCGCGGACAAAACGCTGTGATCTGCCGGTTGTGTGAGGCGAGGATAGGTGCCGCCGTTGGGACGGTCGGAGTGAAGAGCGAGACCGTTTGCGCGTGGCCTGAGCACTGTTGCCAATGTGGCGGAGATTAAAGGGAAAAGCTTCACGGAGAATCAGCGAGCGGTCTCGATAGCGAGGGTAGATATGACGCACCTTCAAGCACAGCTAAGTGCATAATGACCATGGCTCGGCTCTCCGAATGCGACGAGGAGGGTTATCTGGATGGTTTGCGACCAATGGGAGCGAGGATATGGGGAGGCGGAGCGCTTCTCAGAGCGTTAGATGAGTGTTGGGAGGAAGAGATATGCGATCACGAGTTTAGGCGATGAGTTACATGAACGCTTGGACTGGACTCCAGCACCATTATTTACCCTCCCTAAGATCTAGACATGCTTCATATTTAAGTCTGCGCTGTTGAACTTGCACGAGCTCAAAACAAACTATAGTATGCCAACAATAATTACACTGCAGATCGTACGGACTAGATATGTAAGGCAACACTGTAACTAGATTCGAGCCTTGGAATGCGAGATAAATAACCCTCTCGAAGGTGAAGAGAGGGGCGAATTATAGGTATTGAAGATGGGTGTAAGTATGGGTGAAAGTATGGGTGAAAGTATGGGTGTAAGTATGCGCGTAGGCATGGAATGGTCCAGGACCACAAGCATATGTAGGCCCCAGTGGTCCATATGCTTCTCTGCCGTCGACAACTTTCCTGCCCATGATTCCGCCAAGCCTTTGCGACTCTTCGCGAGCAAACTCGGACTCTGCGAATCACTTGCAGCGAAAATTTGCTCAAAACGACCGCGGAGGACGAACACGGGGCCCAAGCGTGTGCAAAAACGTCCCAAAGCACAAGAGTATATGCACAGGAAAACAGAGGAACAGGGTTTCGACTGGTCGTGGCTCGCAGTACGGATGCGAAGTGGATTCTGGTGTAAATGTGGTCGTTGTCGAGAAGGGCGTCAACGAGAACCTTCTCGTTCATCGCAGAGCCTGGGAAGAATTCGACGTTTTATTTTGCATGCAAGGAACCGTGAGATACGGTCGGTAGAAGCGTCTGAAGCGCAGGGGCAGAGCTGCAAACTCGTCTGCGGGCAGCGTGACGGTGACGGATGTGACATTCGAAGGAGGCGACCGAAAAGTGTGGCAGCAGGGGCTGACACCGCAGACGAGCCGGAGCAGCAGCTTGTGCTTGTGCTTGCACAGATGCGGAGAGATGAGAGGATGTTGGGGAAGGGGAATGGTATTTGGCGGGGTCGCATCGTCATTTGGCGAAAATGGGCGAAAATAACCAAGTAATACAGGCTTCTGGTGCACCGCGTTTCAACGAAAACAGTGTCGACAGAATAGAGGAGGGGATAGGATTCCAGGCGGACGGGATAACCTTGCTGCCCACGTTGGGGGGGAAGCTGCTGCCAGGCGGCAATGGCGCTGGCGCTTTTCCGCTGCCTGGAATCCAAGTAGGTCTACTACTCGTCGCGATGAGGATGAGAAGACGCACAAATCACAGAGTTCCTCGGTGCCATGCCTGCCTCTAGCTTGTTGACCAGTCGTTTGTCGTGGGACCTGCGAGCGCTGCCGAGCAGCATAGGGCTCGCGTTGATGAGCCAAATGCTCTGTTCCCATGGTCGAGATTGAACGCAGAGTCGGCAAGCACCTGCGAAGAGAACAAGTCAAGCAAAGAGAAGGAGACAAATCATGTTTTTGCGCACCAAGGAGAGATTCGTTACACCGCCACGTCGCCACGGGTCCTTCTCCTTCGAAACGTTGGGGATGGTAGGTCGAGGTGGTAGTGCCACGCAGCATCAGCCAGAAACAGAGTCTGCTGTATCGAAGTCCAGTCAGCAGAGCGTCGTCTGGCAAGGCAGAAAACGCACCTGGCTACTCGCGCATACGGCTACGTGTGCGTGAAGAACGAAGCGGGAGGTTCTCGGGGCGTTGAGGACGAGGTGGCCATCTGTGGTGGTGGAGCGGAAGAGGAATGGATGCTTATCACGTGTGTTCTTCGGACCGTTCTTGCGTTGGTACTCCCAATTCTTCGTCTTGCACAACACAAGTGCTAGTTGCCGCCCTGCTTTCATTCACACCATTGCTCTGTTCAAGCGATCAACGACTACACAATAACATGTCGACTCGGACAGCAGGAGGGGACAAAATTTCAAGAAAAAAGGATAGGGCTGACTACACAAAAGACACAGTAGAGAGACGAGATGATATTGTGGAAGGGGTATAAATACTAGTATTTGAAGCAAAGAATGATACTAATTAATCATGGTCGTAAAATACTAGCCTGAGCACAGACTCGGAATTACAGAATGGTCCGGGCGAGGGGTATAGATTTTGGTAGTCTCTCGGGTCGTAGCTGGCCCGGGAGCATTTTTAAAGTGTTTTTGTGGATGGCTCATGTCATGATCTCCCACCAGCCTGGCCGGGCTAGGAAAAGTGGTGTACGCGTGTCGAGTCGGAAAGAAGGGGATTCGCCAGAACCCACCCAGTCATCGGGGGGGAGGAATAGTAAGGTATGTCGGGGGTGTCGCGATTAATGGCGGGATGACAGGTGCTTGGCAGCGCGTACTGGGTCAATCCAAAAAAACTACCGCCAGTTGCAGGCGGTGCACTTGCGTGCGGAGCTGAGTAAGCTCGTGCTATATGCATTGTGAGCAGAGGCATATATGTGATGAGGCAACTGACTGTGGAGTCGGTGACTGAGATGCAGAGCACAGACAGTTTTTCCTCGATGGCCGTCGAGGTTTGGCTAGCGCTTGCCAAAGAAACTGTTTGGGACATCTGTAGCCCAGTCTGAAGTTGTTCATGAACGCCTGTTTCAGCTAGTAATGGTGGAGACTGACCATAAATGCCCATGAAGCCGCCTCCATGTCTCGATCAAGGTCGCGGAGAGACGCCTGATTCTTGCGCAGGTGAAGCAAGCTTTGGAGGCGGCCTTGATTAGCGATGCGCTCGATACAGCCGTGCAAACGTTGGAGAACACTGAAAAGAACTCGTCATGAGAATGAAATGAAAAAGTAACTGGTGTACTGACTCCTCGAAGCGCACGACACGGAATCTGAAAGCGGCGGCGGGCTCGGTCCGATGGAGCGATACATGGCATCGACCATCTCAGCAGCTTTGAATGCCAGCGCACGCGCTTGCGATCTACTTTCATTGGCGCGCTGGGTGAGTTAAGTGGGAGATGAGGCGAGTATACTTCTGTACTCACGTCGCTCAGATTCCAGAGGCCAACAACGATTGCGAGGGAGCACTTGAGCGGTGGACAACCCTCGACAGCCTCTTTCATCACCTCTAGGGAGGTATGGAAGTTGTCGATGGTAACCGCCAGCGGGGATGACGGTTCGTCTAAAGAACGCGCTGAGGCGCCAGCTGGCAGTCGACGACGCCAGAGCCTCATTGCGTTGGAGAAAACAAGAGGAGAAGGTGTCGCTTACTTATATTGCCGCTCCACCTGGCAGAGATTGAATCAGAAGTAAATGCGGGGCTTCGACGGGCTCCCATTCGTGGGTTGAGCAGTGGTGAAGATTGCGTCCCGCTGCAAACAGCGTCAATCTCCGCCCACGTCTGGGTTCAGAATCACCATCAAGAACTTTCAGACGGGCACCCAGACTCAACATGGTAGCAGCATATTTTTGATCGTTTTGTGCTTTGACGCAGGGGCTGAAGTTGATTGGAAGGCCGGGAGTCGCCAGCCAGCTTGATGATAGGTGAGATAGTGCGAAGATGAAATCGGTCGTCTTATCGAATAGTAGGCCTTGGATTGGAGGCCGTACCATTTCTCTCCCGCATCAACAACTGGAATAAGCGGATGAGATAATAGGAGTTGGAAGCTATACACACCGTACTTAATGAATGCTGGCCAACTGTTAGTCAGTGGTTACAGACGGAAACATATCATGCACCAAAATTGAAGTCTCATCCCATGAGTTCATTCAGCATCGGCGCACGCGGTCTGGGAAGAAGTCACTCATAGGAATAGACCAATGCCGCGAACCTGTCGGAATATATAGTCGATCGCTTCTCCAGAAGATCGATGTTGGCTATGAGGGAAGAGATAACGACGACAGATGTCGCGGCGACATCGAGGTGGATGATATCACAGTTTGCGGCGCGTTGGCCGTTAGAATAAGCTGTCTCCTTGGTCACCTACTCTCTGTATTCCTGACTGAGCCGCCCAAAGGTTTTACATTCGAAGCTGGACGTCATATGAAGGAGATTGGCCAGCAATAGTTCACGTGGCCCCGAAAGCAAAGGACACAGGAAGCAAGTCCTCTGGTAGAATAATATGGCAAGAACTTCACACAGCAAGTATAGTGGGCATTGGGCTGTTGCGAAGAGCACAGATGGTCACTTCGAACCAAGTCATGGCAGATGTTGAGGTAGTACCAGTATTGTCGGCGTCCCGCTACGCCGGCGTTGACCGCTGAAGACAAGAAACAGATGTGTGACAGGAATGTGACACATCTGCTTTCACTTTTCCTCTGCCATCTATGATCTACGACACCGCCCACCATGTTCAATGGCACTCAGACGCAGTTGTCGGAAGCGCAAGAGGAGGCACTGCCCTCTATCGCCGTGCTCGTGCTCGTGGTCAAAAGTCTGGACACTGGTCGAAGAAAAAACACCATGTCAAATTATCAATATGAAGCTTGAAGACGAGTCAGCCAGTAGTTCGCGACAGGTGCGTGTCTCCGCCTACATTCGCTTCCAAAGTAGCCGAAAATGTCCATAAGTCTCACCCACCTTCTTGTGGCTCCGTCATATTCTCGCTCCCACCCCCGCCCCAAAAGTAACATCTTCATTCCAAG